TTGTATCTTCTGCACAGTTTGGGTTTTGGAACATCCGTTACACAATAGTTCTGAAATCTTCCTGATTTCTTGGAGACAGTCACAGACCAGGAACTATGAAAGTCCGACTATCGCTCCTCCCCCCGCCCGTCCTGAGAAAGCACAGGCTCCGCCCTCCAAACGTGACGTGGGCGACGAGTGAGCCGCCCTTCCTCCGCCGTCTCAGGGAGGGAGGGGGAGACAGGCGTTAGGGTTATTGTAGCTGTAGGAATAAACTTTTATTCATCATGGAGACACAGCGCGTTCAGCCGCATGTGTTGGACCCGGAATCGGACGAGGACTTTGAGGAGCACGAAGCTCAAGCACCGCGTCCACATCAGCTGAACATTACTGATTGGTAAAGTTTTAATAAACACTAGTAGATCAACTTATTATATCGTGTCACTGGACGAGGCGGTGAAGTGTTTTCTGCTCCGTCAAACCTGTCACAGGTGAATCTGCCGCATCATCGTTGTAGCAGCTTTAGTTCGTTGTCACGTGGGAGGGAGGCAGAAATACGCTGCAATTTGTTAAAAAAAACACAGAATCAATCTAAAAAAACATTTCTGCGACAAATCCAAGGCCCACACATCAGTCTGAGGAGGTAGAAAACTCTGAAAAGTTCATTTTGCATGAGATGGACTTTAAAGACTTGAACTTGGCCAAATGACCTTAAAGAAAAAAAAAAAAAAAACGGTGATGAGATCTGAATTATTAAATATTATTATCATTGTTACAGCGCCACATACAGGTGTGGCAGATGTATTACACCATTTTCACTCAGTGTTGTCGTCTGGACGTGAAGATTTACTGAGCCGTGTGTGGATGCACATTTTTTTTCAACCCACTAAGAAAAAACTCCAGGAGCTTTGTCGTGTGGGCGTAAACAAAGTCACAAGAAACACACAAACCATGAACAAAAGTGACACTTACAGTCCCAAAAGTACAAAAATGTAAACACAGATTTACTCTAAAACTGTAAAAACATAAAAAATATAAAAATACAATCATCTGGTCCAATCTGGTCCAGTCTGGGTAAATTAAAGTAAATAAATAATGGTTTAGCCATGATGTAGTCCTGCTTTAGCACTAGTTTAGTCCTGGTTTAAGTTCTGGTTTAGTCCTGGTTTAAGTTCTGATTTAGTCTTGGTTTAAACCTGGATTTGGTCCCTTATTTGGTCCTGGTTTAGTCCTGGTTCAGTCCAGTCTGGGTCAAATAAAATAAAAGTCGTTGGTTGAAAACCGTCAGATTTGTAAAGGGTAAAGGACTCAACCCGTAAAAGAAAAAAACTCCAGGACGTCGTCGTGTCACAGAAAACACAAAAGTGACACTTACGGCCCCAAAAATACGAGAAAGTAGAAAAGAAAACCACATATGTAACATTTTTGAACCTCCAGACCTCGAGCGTCTGACTGATCCTCCACCAGAAAAGTTCCACGGTGGAGCTTTAAGTCTGGGTTGTTGTTGGGTCATTGGGTCGTCAGTCGGGGCAGTCGGGGCAGTCGGGGCTGCAGGTTGGGGCAGTGGGGCAGTCGGGGGCTGGTTGGGGCAGTTGGGGCAGTCAGGGCACTGGGGGCAGTCGGGGCTGGTCGGGGGTGGTTGGGGCAGTCGGGGCGGTTGGGGGCAGTTGGGGCAGTCGGGGCTAGTCGGGGCTGGTCGGGGCTGGTTGGGGCAGTGGGGGCTGGTCGGGCAGGTGGTTGGGGCGGTTGGGGGCAGTCGGGGCAGTCGGGGCTGGTCGGGGGTTGGGGCAGTTGGGGGGCAGTTGGGGGCAGTTGGGGCAGTCGGGGCTGGTTGGGGGCGGTTGGGGCAGTCGGGGGCAGTTGGGGGCAGTTGGGGCAGTCGGGGGCGGTTGGGGGCAGTTGGGGCAGTCGGGGCTGGTCGGGGCAGTCAGGGGCACTGGGGGCAGTCGGGGCAGTGGCTTGGGGGCATTGGGGCTGGTCGGGGCTGGTTGGGGGCAGTGGGGGCTGGTCGGGGGCAGTCGGGGCAGTGGGGGCAGTGGGGTGGAGGTCTTTCTCTCTTTCTCTCTCGGGCTGCTGGTCTTTAGTCTTTTTTGTCAGAGGAATGTTCTAATCCTCTGGACTCTGGATCTGGGCCAGGACTGTGAGGAAAACCAGGTCAGATCTTTGTGTCCAGTGGCTTTTGTCGGGTCTGAATCGAAGCGTCTTTATGAGGCCGAAGAGGAGGAGGAGGAGGAAGAGCGGGCGCGAGGTCCTACACAGAACCTCTCCTGAACCAGAACCAGAACCAGAACCAAAACCTCACACGGTTAAAAAAGACAAAAACAGAAATAAAAATCATCTGATAGAATTTATTTTTTATATTGTAGAAAACATTTATACTTTTAAATTGTCTTTTTTTTTTTTTTCTTTTCTAAGGATTTAATCTGGATCAAACTTGGACTAAATCTGGACTGAACTAAGAACTGAACCTGGACTAAACTTCTGGACCGCTCTTTGGGACTAAACCAGGATTAAATCATGGACTAAACCAGGGACTAAACCAGGGACTAAACCAAGGACTAAACCAGGACTAAACAAAGACTAAATCTGGGACTAAACCAGGATTAAACCAGGACTAAACCAGGACTAAATCAGGACTAAACAAGGGACTAAATCAGGTCTAAACCAGGACTAAATCCACAGACTAAACCAGGACTAAACCAGGACTAAATCAAGGACTAAACTGGGACTAAATCAAGGACTAAACTGGGACTAAATCAAGGACTAAATCTGGGACTAAATCAGGGACTAAACCAGGACTAAACCAGAACTAAAACCAGAACTAAACCAGGACTAAACCAGGACTAAACCAGGACTAAATCAGGACTAAACAAGGGACTAAATCAGGTCTAAACCAGGACTAAAACCAGAACTAAACCAGGACTAAAACCAGAACTAAACCAGGACTAAACCAGGACTAAACAAGGACTAAACCAGGACTAAACCAGGACTAAACCAGGACTAAACAAGGACTAAACCAGGACTAAACAAGAACTAAACCAGGACCAAATCCAGGGACTAAACCAGGACCAAATCCAGGGACTAAACCAGGACTAACCAGGACTAAATCCAGGGACTGAACCAGGACTAAATCCACGGACTAAACCAGGACTAAATCAGAGACTAAACCAGGACTCAACCAGGACTAAACCAGAACTAAACCAGACTAAACCAGAACTAAACCAGAACTAAACTGCCCTAAAGTTGGATAAAACACGTAAAGCCTAAAATCAGGATTATTTTGTTTGTAGAATCTAAACTAAATATCTGTTTGTTTTTTGTTTTTTTCTGAAACGCAGAATCACTTGAACTAAAATCGATATCGTAATAAAAATTGATTTGTGGAGTGTGAAGTTCAGAGGAAGAAAACAGGAAACGAGTTTGTGGAGTTGGTTTAGTCCTGGAAATTCATCGAAACACGACTGAACTAAAGACTGAACCTGGACTCAACTTTTGGAACTCTTTGGGACTAAACCAGGACTAAACCAAGGACTAAACCGGGACTAAACCAGGGACTAGACCAGGACTAAATCAAGGACTAAACCAGGAACCAAACCAGGACTAAACCAGAGCTAGATCAGGACTAAATCAGGACCAAATCCAGTTGTTAAACCAGAACTAGACCAGAGCTAAACCAGGACTAAACTAGGGTTATTTGGACTAAATCAGGGACTAAATCTGGGAATCTGGGACTAAACCAGGACTAAACCTAGGATTAAACCTGAGCTAGACCAGAACTAAACCAGGACTAAACCAGGACTAAACCAGGACTAAACCAGGACCAAACCAGGACCAAACCAGGACTAAACCAAGATTGAACTGCCCTAAAGTTGGACAAAACCTGTAATGCCTAAAATCAGGACTAAACCCAGACCACCGTTGGACTAAACCAGGACTAAACCAGGACTGGACCAGGACAAGCCTTGGACTGAGCCTGGACTCCACTTGGACTCGTCCTGGACTAATCCTGGACTAACCTTGGACTGTTTAGTGCCTGGGAAACCTGATCCGAGTCCGTGTACTGGATCTGTACGTTATATAAGAACACCACGGAAATAGTACGAGCCGGAAGGACGAGTGTGTAAACAATACACAGAGGAGGATAGTACCGGCCAGAAGGACAAACACTGATTTACAAATAAAATAATAATCTGGTCCCGTCTGGTCCAGTCTGGTCCGGTCTGGTCCGGTCCCGTCTGGTCCAGTCTGGTCCAGTCTGGGTCAAATAAAATAAAAGTTGTAGGTTGAAAAAGCATCAGTGTTTTAAAGGGTTAGTCACATCAGTGGAGAAGACGGTTTAGTCCTGGTTTAGTCTTGGTTTAGTTCAGTTTTAGTCCTGGTTAAGTCCTGGATTAGTGTCAGATGATGTAGTCCTAGTTTAGTCCTCGTTTAGTGGTTTAGACTAAACCTGGACTGAATCTGGACTGAACCTGGACTAAACTAAGGATTGAATCTGGACTAAACCTGGAGTAAAGTCGTTTTGAAACACAATCTGTTCTTTGAGACTAAACCAGAACTAAACTAAGGACAGAACCCAGACTAAACCAGGACTAAACCAGGACTACACCAGGACTAAACTAAGGAATAAACTAATGACTGAATCTGGAGTAAACCTGAACTAAAGTCCTTTTGAAACACAATCTCTGAATTGTTCTTTGGGACTAAACCAGGACTAAACCAGGACAAAACCTGGACTAAACCTGGACTAAACCTGGACTAAACTAACACACTGTTCTTCTTGATTTGTGTAAACCAATTTGCGAACGAAAGTGACGATGACGAAGCTTGTCCTCGATTCTAAAACTTCTTTACGTCAATTTTGTGTAATATTTAAGTTTTATTAAGTCTAACTCGAGTTGTTCTTTTTTTCTTCCAGACTTCCATCTTCCTGTCGCCGCGCTGTGACTCCTCCTCCTCGTCCTCCTCCACCTCGTCCTCCTCGTCCTCCTCGTCTCTTCGTCTTCGTCCTCGCCGCCGTCGCGATGGTTTCCCTGGACCCGTCCGCGGCCGCCGTCCCGCTCACGCCGCTCTCCCGCTGGTACCTCTACGCCATCCACGGATACTTCTGCGAGGTCATGTTCACCGCCGCCTGGGAGTTCGTCGTCAACCAGAACTGGAAATTCCCGGGCGTGACCAGCGTCTGGGCCCTGTTCATTTACGGAACCTGTATTTTGATCGTGGAGCGGATGTACCTGAGACTTCGCCAACGCTGCCCGATTTTACTCCGCTGCGTCATCTACACTTTATGGACGTATTTCTGGGAGTTCGGGACGGGATTCCTGCTCCGTCAGTTCAACGCGTGTCCGTGGGATTACTCCGAGTTCAAGTACAATTTCCAGGGTCTCATAACGTTGGAATACGCCGTTCCGTGGTTCTGCGCGTCGTTCATCGTGGAAAGGTTCGTGATTCGGAAAACTTTGCGGCTGCGGTTCCACGAAGGAGTCGAAGACGGTTCCGGACGGCGGCGAGACGACAGCGCCAACGGGTTTTTAAAAGCGGATTAAGACGAGTTTTAAGGGATGGAGATTCGCGTCGCGTCGTTGTCCCGTCGGAAAGCTGTATCATACTGGAAAAATACTGACGCAGAGGGTTCGATTCCCTCCGTAATTGTCGACTCTGTGCCCAAAAGCAAGGCACTGTCTGGAAGGAAAACACGAACAGAAACTTACCGACGACGGACTTAAGGCTTCAAATCCCGAATCGGCGAAGATCTCAAAACTTAGAGATGTTTTGTAGGGCTAATAACGTAAGGTAAATGACAAACTACTGACGGATGGACTGCGGGTTCGATTCCCAAACAAGGGACTTCGTGCCCAAAAGCAAGACGTCTGAAACTGCTGCTTCACCGAGCGCACACACCTGTATTTTGTATGGCTTAGTTATCACGTAAACTGTAATATTGTTAAGGAGAAAAAAGCTAGTCAACAGAGACAGGCAAAGTAGTCTAAACCAGGTCTAAACCAGGTCTAAACCAGGTCTAAACCAGGTCTAAACCAGGACTAAACCAGGACTAAACCAAGACTTAACCAAGGACTTAAGATACTGACTTCTGTAGACCAAGAACACTGCGATAGACCTGGTTTAGTCCAGGTACATGCAGCTCTGACACTGGTCTGGACTAAGCAAGGTCCAAATCGGGTCTAAACCAGGTCTAAACCAGGTCTAAACTGGGTCTAAACCGGGTCTAAACCAGGTCTAAAAGAAGGACTTAAGATACCGACTACTGTAGACCAAGAACACCTCAAAAGAGCTGCATGTACCTGGACTAAACCAGGTCTGGGCTAATGCCGGGTCCAAGCCAAGTCTAAACCAAGGACTAAACCAGGTCTGACACTTGTCTTGACTAAGTCAGGTCCAAACCAGGCCCAGAACTAAACCAGGTCTAAAACACCTCTGATAAATACTGATTACTACAGACACAAGAACTGCAGTAAACCAGGACTATACCAGAACTAAACCAGGTCTAACTCTGGACTGAATGAGGTCTTACCAAGAAGCAAACCAAGACTAACCCAAGGTCTAAACCAGGACTAAACCAAGACTAAAACCGGGACTAAACCAAGGACTTAAGATACTGACTACTGTAGACCAAGAACACCTCGAAGGAGCTGCATGTACCTGGACTAAACCAGGTCTAACACTGGTCTAGACTAAGCCAAGTCCAAACCAGGTCTAAGCCAAGGTCTATCTCAAGGACTAGATCAGGTCTAAACCAGGTCTGATCCTTGTCTGGACTAAGTCAGGTCCAAACCAGGCCCAGAACTAAACCAGGTCTAAAAAACCTCTGATAAATTCTGACTACTACAGACACAAGAACTGCAGTAAACAAGGACTATACCAGAACTAAACCAGGTCTAACTCTGGACTGAATGAGGTCTCACCAAGGACCAAACCAAGACTAACCCAAGGTCTAAACCAGGACTAAGTCAGGACTAAAACAAGCAAAAAACACCTCTGAAAAATGCTGACTGCTGCAGACAGGGATCATTTACTGCACAAGAACTGCAGTAAACCAGGTCTAAACCAGGTCTAAACCAGGTCTTATCCGGACTGGACTAGGTCTAACCAAGGTCTAACCAAGGACGAACTGAGGCCTGATCTATACAGACCACTGCAATCTGAGAAAACCTCACAAAAGCCGCACTAAATCAGGACTAGACCAGGACTAGACCAGGTTTAAACCAGTTCGCATTAACATATTTCCTTAGAGAAAACTACAAACATGGCTGATAGTTGTAGTCTTTTAGTCTAAGTGGACCCGGAGCTGCTGAACTTTTTGCCTGTCGAAAATAAATCCTGTTCAAGCGCAAAACTTTTGAGATGAAAAGTTTTTAAAATTTTGCTGCAATGACTGAAAATACTGAAAACACAATCTTACGAGACAGAACGCTGTGTAGAAATCGCTGTGATTACGAAGATTTTGTTTTTAAATGTACATAATGTCTTTAAGTATTTTTTAAATCAGACTTATTCTGCAAAATCAAACATGTTCTGGTCGTTTCTTCTCTCGGACCCGATGAAGTTTTATTTGGACTGATTCATGTTTGAGGAATCTTTAATAATCGCTTATTTTCAAGACGCCGTTTTGTCGCTTACTGGGTGATACTCGTAGGTTTGGGCAGCGTCGCGTCGTCGTTTTGGTCCAAATGTAAAAAAAAAAAGCCCAAGTCAGAGCACTTTTAGTCGTTTCAGATCAGTTTTGTTCGGAGGCTCGAGAAAATCGGCTTCAAGTACAAAAATCGCCGCAAATTCACAAACTCAAACACGAGTTTAAACGAGGTACAAACAAAAGAACGTGGTGCAAATGAAAAAAAAAAAAAACAGCGCGAGAAACGACGACAAATGTGTTTTCATCAAACTGCGCCGCAAACAGACAAACGACGCAAAGAACAAAACAATGAAAACCAAGAAAACACCGAAAAATGAAAAACGCTGCATAAAGAGTCGCCACAACCTGCAGGGGGCGCTCTCACTGTCACAGCTCAATGTGGCTTTTATTTGATTATATTCATATATTATGTTTACAAATAATATAAATATCACAGTAGAACGTCGTACGTCATTATACAGCCATATTTATGTTTATCTTTTAATGCGAGAAACGTGTGTCCGTGTCTCTTCCTGTTTGTCGTTTCCATGCGTAACTCTCGAACCGCTCGTCTGACTGATCTCAGATTTGGAGCATGTCATTCCAACGGTTGTTAGGACAAAAAATGACAAAGATCTGGTCAAATGATGAACTTTTGGAATCATGGACACTACGAGTCACATGGCACCGCTGGCCACACTTGGAATCCTTAAAGGTTGTGTGGAGGATTTTTTTTTTAGTTTCAAACTGTCAGTGAAAGATTAAAATACCATTACAGAGACGCAGCAGCTTTGTAATTATGATGACCAAAAAAAAAATAAAAAATGAAAATCTATCAACTGTGGACGTGTTGAGGCCAGATAAACATCAGCCAATAGAAAACGAGGCTCCCTCATTTTCTATTGGCTGTTGGGTTGTCAATCAAACTCCCTAGTGTAACTGACTCGTCGGAGCGCGGGGATCACGTGGTTTATGCAGCGGTTCTTAGAGGCTTTTTCGAACTGTCGCTTCCTCGCATTTCGCACAAAGTTTGTTGCGACGGCGGACGAGAATCCACGACCGGTTCGCCGCAAAAGAAAGTCGGTTTTTGAGGTCGCTGAAAGAAGAAGAGAAGAGGAAAAGTAGCAAAGCCAAACTGAGGTGATTCTTGGAGATCTCGTCCAGCGATGGCGCGACCGAAGCAGACGAAGGGTCTAAAAACTGACGCGTCGGTCGCTGAATTACTTCTAGACAGGAAACTTCAACAGTGATTCTGAACGCGCACAAGGACTGTCGCTGTGTTTCTCTTCCCTTAAAAAAATCCTCTATACAACCTTTAAATTATTAAACACAGTATGTGAATAGAATCAAATAAAAACCACATTACCGTCACAGTCATTTGTTCCCGCTGTAGTTTATCGTCGGTCGTTTTCTGTCTGTCTCATTGGCAGAGCAAGCGAGTTTTAAAATGGCCGCCCATTCGAGTCAACGGGCCGAGCTCGATGTCTCATGACTCCAGATTCGCCTTTAGCCCGTTGAGGTTCTTCCGGTGGCTGTGGGCCGATGGAGCATGTGCAGTAGAGTCTTTTGTCTCGCGGGAACATGCCAACGCACACGAGCGCACACACGAACAGTCTCGCGATCACTTTGACCAATCAGAGCGAGAGGAGTCGAAGCGAATGATTATAAAGCGTTTTTTTAAGACAACTGAAGGATTTTGAGCTGAGAAAAAGTTCATGATCTAAAAACAGGTAAAAATTGCAACAAAATCCGACATTTTGGACAGTTGTAGGTCGATGTCAGACTTGTGATTACATTTCACTCTATTAGAAAAAGAATTTCTCAGCCCAGGGGATTTTTCCGCTGAAGTTCCCCTGAGGGTCACTGCGAAAACTGAAGGCAGAAACAAACTACAACACCTCCAGTTATTTGAATAAATCCATGAGGCGGAGTCTTTCTCTCTCTTCATCCGGTGTGTCTCTCCATTCAGCGGTGACACTGGGAGCGCCCCCTGCAGGCTGTGGCAACTCTATGCAGCATTTTTTGTTTTGCGGTGTTTTCTTAGTTTTAATCATTTTGTTCTTTGCGTCGTTTTTCTATTTGATGACGACATATTCGTTTTTGTTTCTTGCGGTGTGTTTTTTTTTTTTTTTTTTTTTTGCACCTCGTTCTTTGTTTGCGCGTCGTTTAAACTTCTTTCGTGGTTTCGTTTTTGTACTTGGAGCCGTTTTCTCGTCGGTCGCCGTAATATTGTGATTTAAAACGTCACAGTTAGAGCAGAATAATCCCGCGGGGGTCAGAGGTCAGACGTACAAACACTCGCGCAGAATAAGTCTGTTTTAAACTCTTGTTTCTCTAAACCAGTGTCCTGTGTGTTTATGTGAAATGCATGAAAATCACCGTCTTCCAGAGTCTGAACGTTTTTATTTAAATTCTGATCTCACGAGGACGGGACCAAGAAGCGTTTACTCTTTTCGTTTGAATGCCTGTAGTGAGTCAAACTGCATGTCCAAGTGTCACTTTTACGAGACGAAAATGCCTTGCCAAGTTACAAACGGAAACCGAAAAATCTGCGTCCGACTGGAACCAGAAAACGTGCGGTTCGAGGGCGACGAGCTCAACTTTCAAGACACTAATAAGGCGAACTTTTAATTTAAAAAAATGTTCCAAGGCTCAAATATTTCTCTTAAAACTTAAAACTTCCGTCCATTTGAAATCTGAATAAATAAAAATATAAATGTGAACGCAAACGATTCTCAAAAATATCACCTAAGTATGAACACATTTTTAAATTTATTTACATTTTTTAAAGACGTCACGATCACATTTGAGAGTTTTAGAAGTTACAAGTGTTAGAAAAAATAGAAGCTTCATGAATAATAATAATTTAAAAAAAAAAAGACAAAACACGTTAATTACAAAGAGTTAAAAAATATATAACATTTTTACATTTTCAGTGAGAGTGTTTTTAATCGGAAACGTACAATAATTTTAATTTACGTTTAAAAAATGTAAATAATCTGGTTGGATTTCCAGAAACAGTTAATAGAACCTCATGTAGTTCTGGTTCTGGTTCTGTGTTCAGTTGATGTTGAGTCTCAGAGTTGAGACACTTAAAAAATAATTTAAGATGATTCAAATTGGTAATAAAAAAATGGGTCCTGAATAAGTGAAAGAAAATGGATGGAAGAGGATAAAATCTGTAAAATGTTCCAAGTTCACGAGATTGTTTTTTATTTTATTTCACATTTCGCCAAATAAATCAAATCAAATTATTGACTTGAAAGTTGGTGTTTCAGTCTGTAGGGTCTGACTCTCTCTTCTTCTCTCTTGTTCTCTTCTTGTTCTCTCTCTTGTTC